GGCTTTAGATTCTCAGTGCTGTGCTTTAACCCACTGCGCCACCAGGGAGGGCCTCCCTGGCCTTTTTTAAAGAACTCGCTGTTGCACTGTTTCTGTCTCACACTGACTATATATGTATGTGTGTGTGTATGTATGTACACATATATACATACACTTATGTAATATACACATATTTAGTTATAGTAAAACTTATATAAGCAGGGTAATAAGAACAATTAATAATAGCAATACTAAATTATGGGAAGAGACCCAAGAACTTGGTGAATAACATCTAATGATGTGCCACTGTAGTGCTATGTATGCTACTTAGAGATCATTGATAGCCTCTTTTCTCTGGCCAATACGAAGTAGAAATTTTTTATTTTTTTATGATTGTTAATAAAGCAGTATTCAGTGCAGATAAGTGTGGAACTCCTGAAAAGCCACAATAAAAAAATTTAAGGTCATCCTTATTCTATCACATGAAGATGGCCATTATTAACATTTTATTAAATTTTCCAATCCACTTTTCTTACTTATGCAAATAATACACGTATGTATATATACTAGATCAAACTTACAAAATAAATGCTGTTTTGTAACCTCCATTTTCCTTTTAATGTACTGTATATCCTGAATCATTTAGTGTTGTTAAATTCTTATTACTTCTTTTACTCAGAAATCCTGTGGGTATCTTAGCTAGACTCTTAGCCTAAAATGCTGGATGGGCCCCCCACTCCCCAAATATCTGTGTGCAAGTGCCATCTTCATAGTGTCATGTTTCTTTTGGCCTGTAATGCTCTTAGTAAAAAAAAAAAAAAGATACCTGTTTTAATTGCTTAATTATTTTAATTACTACTTATCATGCATTATTGGCCATTTTGTTATTAAGATAGTTTTCCTATTGCTTGCAAAATATTATTCTTTTGTCTGTTATGTGTTAGAAAATCCTGTTGTCATTTGCCTTTTAATGCTGTAAGTGGTTTTCTTTCAATATATAAAAAGTTAAAAATCTCACTGTTTCACTCTAGCAGTCCTTTCTTTGAATGTTTTTGCTTTTGCCATTGTATTTATAGAGGCCATGCATGGCCCAAGATTTAATAGAAATTCATCTCTACCTTTATCGACATATATCAAATAATCCATTTCCCTTCCCCCCCTCCCTGTTTCAAAATGCTACCAATTTTAACATCTTGTATCTAACATCTTAGATCTATTTCTGAGCTTTCTGTTTTGTTTCCATTATATAGTATCTTGTATCTACTGTCATTACTCTTTATGCTTCCTTCTTAAATTGATCTTGGGTATTTTTACCACTTCATGCTTCTACATCAGATGAAAAGGAGCAGAGAGTCGATATTTAGGCTCTGCAGGCCATATGTTTTGGCACTATGCTCCACTCTGCTCTGGTGCTGCACATCAGCTACAGGCCATAAACAACTAAACAGGACTGCACTTCAGATGAAACTTGTTTACAAGACAGGCTGTAGGTTGAATTGTTCCAAGGCATTGCTTTGCCAAGCCCTGTTCTAGATGTATTTTTGAATCATTTTGTCAAGTTTTCTTGCCACCCTTATAGACACACAGTGTGTGTGTGTGTGTGTGTGTGTGTGTGTGTGTGTGTGTGTGTGTTATACAGGTAGAGAAAGAAGGGTGGGAAGGAATTTGGTTTAAATGAGCATTGCACTTATAAAATGATTTGGGAGTTTTGTGGCATATTCAGAACATGCAATAGTTTTGTGATTTCTTTGATAGGTCCTGCAAATTTCCGGTTATCTTTAGTCCTTGCAATGTTTTTCCCAGTAGCTGCTACAGAGACTGGAAGCTCTGTGTGAGTGTTGGGGGAGCTGGTCCCACAGCTCCCTGCTGTTCTGTGAATCCATCCACAGCCTCAGAGGCAGAACTCTGCAGGGAAAGAGACCCAGACTCCTACCTGCCCCAGCCCCCACCCCACTGGCGGCTCACCCGGCATCTGCTCCTCCCTCCCTCTGCCACACCAAAGGCAGCTCTACAGTTCTGTGTAGACTGTCAGAAACTTCTGCTCCACTTGGAGACTTTTGGAAAAACCTACTTATTATGAGTATAAAAACAAGGACCTTTGTAAGACAGGCTTAATTTAAGCTTTTGGAGGAAGCAGTTTGTTTAATCATGCTTTCACTAAAAAGGCTAAAAGCGATAAAGCCATTCTGTGGTGGGTTCAGAGTCAAGCTTCTGCACCCCTTCTTGAGTCCATGCTCTCTCACCCTTCCTCTCAATAACCCTCTTTGCCCCAGACAGCTAGCCTCCTTGAGGTTAAAGGACAACGGAAATTTGGATTGCTTCTTAGCGCAGAAATTCCTCCTATAGTGAGCGAGACACTCACTATGCAAGCAGGACTGATTTAACTAGTGTAACATCTGACTGTGAGAGAAGTGACTTGCATGAGAACCCCTCAGGCACTCAGAAAACATCAGTTAATGTTGATATTAACTTAAACAAAGCATAATTAGAGAGGTAAAGAAACCCCAGAAATATATTTATTTCTAAAACCTCCTACCTTTCTTCTTCTCTTATCTTCCTGCCACTGTTACAAATTACCTAAAACACCCTCCTTTTTATTAAACAATGACTGAGGAATTACAAATTATTATATAATTCGATAATCAGGATTTAAAGCCTCTTAGGATTTGAAGACCTCAGGAAGCTTATTCAGCTTCATTTAAATGTTGACTCTTGGTGGTGTCCTGATCATGATAGAAAAGAGCCTCTTCTTGCAGTGTGTGCCCCCAAACTGTGGGGCAAGGGGCACTTGCCAGTCCTGTTCCCACATGTGATCCCCCATAACTAAATGTCACTTGGATCTATTTCAGACTTCCCTGAAAAGAAGAGGCAGTCGGGAAATGTACAAGGAAAAGAAAACCTTTAACCAGGTAAGCAGTGGTTTCATTCTCGTGTTCCATTTCCTAAAGCGCCAGTCACCTCATTTTGAATTTTCTAAAAAAATGTTAGTGTTGCCTTGGAAGTACTGAAAGAAACATTACCTGCTAAAATATTTGGACTCATTCAAAACCTCCATGGGGTGAAAAATTTCCTTCCATACCAGCAGCTCCTCCCTTTAGTGTCTCTGATAGACTGGTGATTTCTTCAACAAAGAGAAGAATAACCTGACTTAATGTGAAATATAATTAAATGTAGTTTAAGTCTCTGGTAGTATTTATAACTGATTAAAAAAAAAAGCAAAACTGGGCCTACAAAGTCATTCACACAGTTATATAGTATAGCTACTTTGGTGCTGGTCATTCATCAGACATCGTTTTAAGTGTTGTTGTTTTTTTTTATGTGCAAGCTGAACTGTATGTTAATTGTCCCATTTGACAGAGAAATAATTTCACGGAAAGGTGGTGGAGCTTAGCCCTTTCTATGTACATAGTATGTGTTCTTCAGAACTGCCTGAGTGTTTCTGACAGTTGCTGGACTAGATTCCTTTCTTCATCTTTTTTAACTTGCTGCTAGTATTAGATGTTGGACAGAACAAAGACATTATTGGAGTATCAACTCCCCGAGCTATCAGAACACGTTGTAATTAGAGAAATGCATTAACCCAGGTAACTAAACACACTAGACCTCAGGGCTGACCTGGCCCTGTGGCGTCCACCTGTGATTCCCTGTGGTTTCTTCATTCTCCAAATTCACTGGTCCCCAGACTGTCCTTCAAGGAGCACCAGGCCACAGGCACAGTGGAAATTCAAAGATTTACTTTTCTCACCTCCTTCACATTGGCACTCACTGATAACAGGGAAATTGAAATCCATTGTCCCCCCCACCCACGCTGGGAGCTTCGACTCTCCTGAGCTTCAGTGTTTCCAGTTACTGGAAAAGCTTTTCCTAAAAGGGTAGCCGCTGCCCAGATACAGAATGCACAGCTTGTGGGCCGATCAGGCTGAGGACAGCAGCCTTGACCCTCAGGAGGGTGTGAAACACACGGGGCACTGGGAAAGGGGTCAGCTGCCCGCTCAGCCTGTGGTGTCATTGAGAAAGGAGTTTCTGTTCAGCAGAATGGTGGAACGGAGCGCCTTGGGAACTGCAGGTCTACAACCAAAGCTCAAAGGAAACTGGCACCCCGGCGCAAGGTAGGAACGCGAGCAGTCAGCGCTTGGGGTGCTGGCTAGATGTCAGACTTGCAAGCCAAAGAATATATACCCATAGCGATATATTTTTGTTGCTTGACAAGGCCTTCCCAGCTGCTGGTGGTGGTGACGGTCCTGCGTGTGTCCCTCCTCCATGTCATGCTTGCCTACTCTGCCTGCAGCAGGGGATAGTTTCATGTGTGTAGTTTGACTTGACCTTCTGCTTTCATACCACATTCCTGGAGCTAGCTGATGATCTCTTGAAACCAGAGCTTGATATCCTTCAGCCTAGGGCTTGGCCTAGACCTCTCCTGGAGTCTTGGCAGAGTTTTAGAAAGTACAATTAAAAGATAAGACAGCTATCCAGTTTCCCGCTGCTTTAGCCGAGGCTGGGATTCTGCATCTTATTATAAGGGGCTTTTTGTCCCCCAAACAGGCTGAGTCTTTTCCCCTGAGACACTCCTACACCCCCAAGGGGCCCTGGATGCCTTCCCCAGAGCTAGAATGTCTGACCCCTTCATCAAATAAACACACTCCCTTGGCTTCAAAGATTGTCTTTTCAAGAACTGCTTTTCCTTGGTGGCGGGCATAGTAGTGCATGGGCGTTGCGTAGAAACAGCAGCATGCTTAGTTGTGTTAGAATTCCAGGTGTGGGTATGGTTTCCTTAAAGAATTAAGACTTTTTGGTTATTTTCTCAGTCCTCAGGTAATCTGTGAATGGGCATTTCCTTGTGAGGTTATGTCGTGGAATCTTGATTCTTGAACTGACCCAGGTTTAGATTCGAGGAGCCAGGAGACAACAGTTCTGGCTTATGGTCAAGTTTATGGTCAAATGTGTGGGGAATGGCAGAACAAGTGGTTACAATGCCAGGTTCAAGGTTGCCAGAAATCAAGGCCACTGAGAACTCTTTGGTATTTTCTACCTTTATAATAGGATATGGGGTTAGTTCTTAGGGCTGAGTGCTTCAGAGCCCTTCAGAAAAGTCTGTTTCCATATGCCTCTGAGAGGCCCTACCCCCCTTCCCTGATTTTTTAATTCACCTTTTGGGCAAAGAAACCAGGAAACATCACTTGAGACTTGAGACTCTGACTCTTCTGTTGACACAAAGCTTTCTGAACTGTGCAGGTAACGCCCCCTGTGCGCCCTGCCTGCTCAAGGTCTGACCATTGGAAAGTTTCCATGGAAGTAGAAACAGGGGATATGTCACAGTAGGTAACCCCATCCTTTGCCCCACCTCAGGCTGGAGTTCCAGACTAGAGGTGCCTAGAATGGGGGCTCCCCAGGTCTGGCAACATTCTCTGCCAGGATCTCTGCTGCCTTCTCAGGTGCAAAGGTGCATTTTTGGTCTTTCAAGATGGAGAGAGGGTTGGGTAGGTGATTTTGAAAAAACAATGAACACTGGCAATCAAGTAGGACAAGGGATACCTCCTGTCCACTTGTCCCAAGGTTTTCACTACTAAGCAGGACCATGTGTGAAATACTAACAGTCTCCAGTGATGGGTATGTAGTTCAGTGTATTTAACCTGAAAACCCCAAAGCCCCCCCTCTTTGTATTGGGATTTCTCACAATATATATTTAACAACAACAGCAACAAAACGTGTTCTTGAAAATTCTAGGAAACTGGGTCATTTGAAAGTCACATGCCAATTTCTGGTACATATTGACAGTAGGTACTTGATAATTATTGACAGGATGAATTAACAAACACACCTTTCCTTCATTATTTAGTATAATATATGTCTTTTATAGCCCATGAATTCTCTGTAGATCCTTTGAAGAATATACCGTTACCCTGGCAATGAGTGTCACAGGCCTTTTTTTTTTTCTTTTTCCCCACAGCGCTTTTTTTGTGTGTGTCTCTCTCCACACACCCCATTTTTTTTTTTTTTTTTTTAGGTTTATTTATTTATGAACTGAGGTACAGGCCAGAAGTGTGGGCAGTGAGAGGATTCACCAGAGACGGAGTGGGGAGGCCGACTGACGAAGGACACTGCTGAGAGGGGAGCAGCAGATGGGCCAGGAGAGGTCTGCCGCACCATGTGGGTCACCTCTGGGATGGAGATCAAATTCATCTTAAGTGGCTTTAGCTTCTTAGTGCTGTGCTTTAACCTGCTGCACCACCAGGGAGGGCCCACAAACCAAATTCTTAATGTGCTAAGTTCTTAGAACACAGAGACCATGTTCTCCACCCAGTGACATTTATGTATTACTCTCCTGTTGTGCAGGGGGGAGGGGGAGAAATCTGAGTTACAGTCTCCTTTTTCCAATATTAATTGCATGTCTGGCAAAGAAGAATGTTGATTTCAGGGTAATTTGCTATGGACAAACCACGTTGCTGGACATTCTTCCATTCGACTTTCACTGCCTTGTGACTGAGCAAGAATCCTGTTTTACAGAGGCTCTGGAACAGAGGGGCCCAAGTAAGACCCAGGGCAGCCCAGCGGGATGGCCGCGCCCCTGCTGAGGACATGGTGAAAGTGAGCGTAGTCCCTCAGGTCACCCGGCACCAGGGTCGGAGCTGTCCTTAGATTTTTTCCTTCATTCTTTATTATTGCTATCTTCCATGGGTTTGTGGTGAGCGGGGCACAGTGGTTTCAGGCAGGGTGAATGAGGGAAGAGGGAGCACTCCAAGGGTGCTTTTGCCCACTGGTGAATGTGCAGCAAGAACATGGCAGAGACTGAGCCTCCTTCTCCAAGTGTGAAAACAGCCGCAACCCTACAAGACCATGGGTGTACAAATGAAGGTCTGGCAGCTTATTCCTTCCAGATGGTTGGCTGGCTCCAGGTATTAGTTTGATGACGCCTCCTTCCCTGCAGAGAGGGGGCTTCACCACCAAGGAGTATCTTCTTGAACTTCTCTTTGTGATGCCTTAGCCAAAGCCTTTGACCCCGTGTCAGCTCTGACAGTCACCAATGAGGGAAGATTCATGAATTTTTTCTCATTCACTAAATGGGAAAAGTAAACAAATTTGTGCAAGACCCAATCAGAGTTCATATGGCCTCAAAACAGTGACACCAGCACTGGGCAGACCGAGTTGATTTTCTACAGAATGTGCCTTCTTGACCTCAGTCCCGCAATGTGGGCATTTAGCAATAGTGAGCACCCTTGAGTGACCTTCCAGAATCCTGGGGTGTTCCAATGCGAGCCACTTCTCAGGTTTTGAAATACTAACTCCTTGCCTTGGATTTCTGAGCTTAATTTCCTGCTGTGTCCCAGCAACTAAAGGGAATGGAATGTAACCCAGGCTGTGATGTTGCATTTGCATGGCGAAGGTTGTGAGCAACCCAGGTGTATAGGTTTGCAGTAACCAATTTTACTAACCGTCAGAGCTTCTTACTTACTCCGCACTTGACTCTACACTACCCTCACGCCTGCCATCTCATCGTTGTCCTCATGTCATTCTTGGTACACATGGGGGATGGGGAGGTCGGGAGGGGCACTGGGGAGTTGCCATGTCTTGGTTCTCAGCCTATCAGGGGGAAAAGTGGGCTCTGATTTGGGGTCACCTGGCCTCCCCATCCTGGTAATGGCTGGATTGCTGAACACTATGGATGAGGGAGGTCTGCACTGTGCGGGGAATAAGTGGCACCCAGCTTCAGCAACAGGTCTGCTGTCTCTCTCTGGTGCTGCTGATAATCTACATCGGATCCACCAAGAAATGCAGGACCACATCACTGCTGGATGTTGGTTTCATTTCATTTACTCCCTTTTCACTCTTCACTCATTGATGTTTTTCTTGTGCACGTTTTTCCAAACTAATTCTGTGGTTTCTTTTGTTTCTGTAACAAAGCAACAGACTGCAGGCCCTGCTACATCCCCACCGTGCAGGCCCCTGGTGTGCCTTGGCTTTGTCTGGACCCTTCTACCTGTAACTTGAGGCACTGGTGGAAAGATCGGTGTTTTGTGTTTGTGTGTGTGTTGGGGGCGAGGTGTGAGGGAAATAAAAAACAGGAACATTTGCTATTTTCAAATAACCCTTCTTTCGGGCTGTTCTTTCCTGGCAGGATGACAGTGCCGATTTGAAGTGCCAGCTTCAGTTTGCCAAAGAGGAAGGCTCCCTGATGCGCAAAAAAATGGCCAAGTTGGGAAGGGAGAAGGATGAGCTGGAACAGGAGCTCCAGAAATACAAGACCCTCTACGGGGACGTGGACAGCCCCCTCCCCACCGGGGAAGCCGGAGGGCCGCCCAGCACCAGGGAGGCCGAGCTCAAGTTGCGGCTGAAGTTGGTTGAGGAAGAAGCCAACATCTTGGGCCGGAAGATTGTGGAACTGGAGGTAGAGAACCGAGGCCTTAAAGCAGAGATGGAGGACATGCGGAGCCAGTATGAGCGAGAGGGGACAGGCCGGGACCACGTCCCAAGCATTCCTACCTCACCCTTCGCAGACTCTGTGGAGTCCTCCACAGAGCTCCGCCGACACCTGCAGTTTGTGGAGGAGGAAGCAGAGCTGCTGCGGAGGTCCATATCTGAGATCGAGGACCACAACCGGCAGTTGACTCATGAGCTGAGCAAGTTCAAGTTTGAACCACGGCCAGAGCCAGGGTGGCTGGGCGACAGCACGGGCAAGGGCACAGGTGGCGGCCCCCTGCAGGAGGAGCTGAAGTCGGCCCGGCTGCAGATCAATGAGTTGAGTGGCAAGGTGCTGAAGCTGCAGTATGAGAACCGGGTGCTCTTGTCCAACGTCCAGCGCTACGACCTGGCTGCTCATCTGGGGCTGCGTGCCCCCAGCCCCCGGGACAGCGATGCCGACAGTGACGTGGGCAAGAAGGAGAGCGATGGGGAAGAAGGCCGGCCACCCCAGCCCAAGCGGGAAGGTCCTATAGGTGGTGAGAGTGACTCTGAGGAGATGTTCGAGAAGACTTCGGGCTTCAGCAGTGGAAAACCATCGGAGGCAAGTGAACTGTGTCCGGTGGAGCTCCTTAGGGCCAAGGAGGACTCCGAGTACTTGGTGAGCATAAGGCAGGAGGCCGAGAGGCTGGAGCGGACCGTGGAGCGGCTCATCACAGATACCAATGGCTTTGGGGACAACTTAGGGCTGCAGGGTAGCAGCGAGGCCTCACTGGGGTCCGGAGTCCAGGGGGAAGCAGAGAAGGGTGAGGGTGGCAAGAGTGAATCCCAGCTGCTAGGGACCATAAACTCAAGGATGAAGGCGTTCAGGAAAGAGCTCCAGGCCTTCCTGGAGCAGGTGAACCGGATTGGGGATGGTCTTCGGGAGCGTCTGGAAGGCCTCTCTCCCTTGCCCCAGCTCACGGAGTCTTCCAGCTTCCTCTCCACCATGACCTCCGTGTCCCGGGACTCCCCCATCGGGAACCTGGGGAAGGAGCTGGTCCCAGACCTGCAGGTAAGGGGGCTCCTGGCTCTGCCTCCCTGCTCCGTTTTGCTCTTCTTCCTTCTTGCTGGCATTGCTGCACTCGAACTCATTCTGCTCACAGCTGCTTGGTTATGATTTCAAACCTGCATTGTACTAAAGCCTCAAGTGTCAACCAAATCCTTTCTATTGGTTGGGTTTCTATTCTTTTCTTTGCTTTTTTTTTTTTTTTTTAAAGTTCTCTTTGATTTTCTTTTCCTTTCTCCTCTCTTAATTTAAATGCACTGCTACTCTTGGCTTGAGACCCTCCCTATTGACACAAGGCCAATCCCAATGGAAGCGGTAGGGATTGATGCAGTTCGTCCTTTCTCCTTTTTTGGTGTCTCAAACAACCAGCTATCCCGATGAAGAAACAAAGAGGATTTTAAAACAAAATACAAACTCATTTCACAGTCAGGATAATTAGCAGACTTGCTCGGGAGCCTTTGCATCCCCACCTGGGTTAATGGTCAAAGGGACAGCACGGTTCTCAAAGGCCGTAGGCGGCCAGCCTCCCTCCCTAGACTCTCCCACGGGAAGATGAGCCAGAATGGGAGAGAGCACGTTCTCAGAGAAGGATGGTTTTGGAGGAAAATGTCGCTGCCAGCTTGCTCCCGCTGCCCTCCTTGAGGGCAGGAGCCTCTAAGGACTGCTTTCCTATGCATCGCCCTTGGGTGCATGACCCTGCTGCCGCCCTGGATCATGGCTTTTGCTGCTCGACCACAAAGGAGGAAGGAGGAGCCTTGTTTCCGTATCCTTCGTGGGTAGTGTGCTTGCGGCGGAGTCTTCTATCCGCGCCTCCCGTTGCATGTGCCTCGCCACCTGTGTTTTGCACTCCAACCCCCTTTGCTTTACAGTTCTTCAGCCCATCGTTCTGCTCATCGTCATTTCAGCTCTGTTCTCTTCACGCTGTTCTACCACTGCATTTAAGTTGGTTTTTCTATTCACACTTCTCTTCATCTGGTAGTTTTCTAGTCGTCTGCCTTACCCATTTTTGTTTTAATACCCCTCCCTGTATCACACCGCCCTCGAGTTTTTTTTTTTTTTAATTTAAATTAAACAAACAAACAAAACCCAAATCCCTCCCATGCACCTAACAGTCCAGACTGAGAGAGCAGATGGAGTGGCACCTGGGCTCGGACGAGCGGGAACACCTGCGCCTGCGCACCACCCAGGAGCTGCACCGCCGCGCCGATGGGGATGCTGGGAACTTCCGGCCGGGAGGCCAGAGCGGCTTCAGTCTAGAGGTCAGCGAGCTGCTTGTACCCACTGGCCACCCCCTCACCCTCCCACCCCTCCTTTTGCTGTGTGGCTGCCTGTGACGTTTCCTCCTTGGGCTTAAGGCTCTGAGGGACTATGGAGGGAGGATATGGACCCAGATGGGCCTTACCAGAGTCCAAATCCACTGCATGCAGTTGGGGTGAGTGTATGTGAGCTGCCAACACCCCTTGTAGACAGACAGCTTCCCACAGACCTGTTTGTCCAGGAACTGTAGGTACCTGGAAGTCTAGGGAGGCATAGGAGACTGATCTGTGAGAATTAGACAACGCCTTATCGAACAGTAAGGAAAGCAGGAGAACCCAGCACAGTGCCACTAGTCTGGAGGACACTGCCTTGACCACCCAGCAGGGTCTAGTGGCAGTGCTCCAGCCATCAGATTCAGGGAGAGTGCCCCTGATGGGGAAGGGAGGGGAGTTGTAGTCTCTGTCACCATAGGAACTCTTGTCAACACAGTGCCCACAACCACAGGTCCTCCATTGTATGAGACAGCTGTCAGCAGTCCTGTCAGCAAAAACTCTTCCATGCAAATAATTCCACCAGGACAGAGAGACAGGTGCCACAGCAAGTGAGTTCCGACTCTGATTATGCTGTTCAAGGCAGTTTACTGCAGGGCTGGAGCAAGTATTCTACATTAGAAAAGTATTCTATATTGGATGAGGGTCCTAAATTTAGGTTACCGCTCAGCTTCCACTCAGCCTGGAGCTCCCAGTGTCAAGGTGAGAGAGAGCGGGGGCACTCGCACCTGCAGGAGCAGGACTTCACTGGGCACAACCTTGAGACATTTGACTAAGAAATGAAGCAAAAGAGGTGTGTGGAGGAGAGCAGCCCTGGGGCCCATGACTCTGCTTGCAGCTGTTGCCTAGGTTAGGCTGCAGGTCGTCTGTCAGAGTTTGACACGTGACTTCAGATCCCTCCAATCTAGTGTTTTGTCCCTTGTCTTGTAAAAGCATAGGTGATGTCTCTGCCCTCACTGATTTGGCATGCAAGAACATGAACACTGCCTTTAAAAGTTGAAATGCAAACAAAAACAGTTTTGAGAACCATCCTATCTGGTACCCCTGCCTTGCGTTGCATTGGCAAAGGCCAGGCTTCCACAAAGGTGGCATCCGGCCACTTCTCCAGAATAAGCAACTGTGGACCACACAGAAGCATGCCACAGACACATTGCAAAAGTGAAGGCGCCAAGTTCTCAGTAAAAGTGCAGCTTCCCCCAGTGCTGTCGGAGCTGTGAACACGGACCCAGAGCCCACCAGTTCAAAACACACAGTGCCCAGAATAAGCATTTGCAGTCAATTTAGAGTATTTTCTGAACAGTGCTGGACGTGAAACTAGACTTTATTACAGCATATCATGTTCCTAGGTTTTATAGCAACCATTACTGTTTTCCTCATGGATTTAGTGATTGGTGTGCTTATAACTCTGGAACTTTCACAGTAAGCTCCTTTGAACCTATCCATACCTGGGTCTTCATCTGCAAGGACTGGTGGCTGGGCAGTAGTAAGCTTACAATTCTCTACATTTCAAATGGCTTGAATGTTCCATCTCCAGGAGGGGACCCTCAAGAAGACGTGTTCCCAGTCTTTAATTGCCACTTCACTGTTGGCTGTTTCTAGTGGGCATATGGTGCCACGATGTACTCAATCCTGACTTGGACATAAGGGCCCCTGGACACTAGCGGCTATGTGGACACAGCTAGTAATGCCAGTGTCCATTACTAGCTGTGCTTCTCAGGCAAGTTTCTGGGCCTCACTTTTCTTACTTGTAAAATGGGAATAACTACTGCCCTGCCTGCCTCATATGGTTATATAAGAAGGACTCTCAGAGTCTTTGATCTGTTGGTTGAGAAAATACCCTAAAACTTACTAAACATTGTGCAAATGTGAAGCTGATTAATAAGAAGAGGAGCACACTATGTCCTTCTACTGGTTACCAGGCAGGAAGGGGTGTCGACAGCTCCCTGGTCATGGAGCCAGTTTTCTTAGTAACTTTTATTTTCCACTGACTGAATCCTGATCTTGTACCAGAAGCACAGCTCTGGCTGAACGTGGAGGTGCTCCTCTCTGTGACATGTCCTTTGAAAATACTTCAGCTCCCTCCCATAACAGGCAGTATCATTCAAGGGACATCACACAGAACTGTGTTCAGTTAAACGCCTAAATCAGAGCACACTGCTTGGCACTCGTCCTAGGTTCCTGTCACTCAACACTGGGGTAGCCATTCGTCTTCCCACCACTTGCCACGTGCATGCATGCAGTGCATAGTTTCAGAAACCTGTAGTGATTTTGGAGAGACAAGACTGCCTTGAATCACACGGAAAGCTGTAGGGAAATGAATTGCTGTAAGAGGCAGATTAGCAGACATGGTGCTAAGGAACGTCAGATTTTCATATTAAGTCCCTCATTCTACAAACTAGAAACATGTGACCCTGACAGTGAAAAGGCTTACCAATGATCCCCATGGTTGACTGGTGAGAGAAGGGTCTAGGACAGTCTCTTCAAGCCAGGTTCAGTACTCTCCACACCCTCCTATGAGGAACTCTGCTTGGTTGCAGCCGTAACTGGTCAGCAGTGACCCCCCACCCCCACCCCACACAATAGGCACAAACAGACCTCCAAGCTCTGCTCTACCTGGGGGACCAGCCACTCAGGTGACTCCTGACACCACCAGCTGTCATGCATTATAGTCTGTCACGCATCTCTCTATCTGGTTTCTCTTCATTTTAAACATTTTAATGATAAAGCAAAGAACTCATAATGTGAGTAAGGGATCTTGATAGCCTCATTTCCTAGAAGAGGAAAGAGATTTGGGAGTTAAACTTCCTTTGTTCTGATTTTTTTGTTCACTAAGTCATTTCACACAGAAGTGAAAACTATGTTTGAAAGCACATTCTAAATATTAAACATTTTTTAAAAGATAAAACATATTCTAGAGTCCCTTTGACAGATTCTTTTACCCAAAGAGCCCAAGGTGGATCTTCTGTGAGCCTGGGTTTTAGGGGAGTTGCTGTTGCCATGATTGTTCAATTTGGTCTTTGAATATTACAGTGGGCCCAAGAATTGTGCAGTGGACAAGTCTGGGGAGCAGGATTCTTGATAAGCCTTTTAATGAAAACAACCCAAATTCATAGAGCAACTAACTTGCTCTATGGGGCAAACCTTCAGTTAACAGGGTAGCCCACTAGAGAAGCTGCTCCATTGTGGAAAATGCTTTAGTGGTGTGAAAAGGGCCAGGCTCACGGGGGAAAGACACACGACACTCTGGGAATAGGGCCAAGATGAAGCCAGATGGACTGCTAGCAGTTTCTTGATGTCCTCTTACACTGCCCTTGAAGTTACCACTCATCTTGTGCCCAGGCCAACTGCTGAAATACGTATACACATTACTTTTAGCTCTCTGCCCTAGGTTCTTTGGGGTGGGAGACTGATGGCACACCTACTATCGCGGCTTAAAAGAAATTTTCGGGCCCTCCCTGGTGGTGCAATGGGTTAAATCACAGTACAATGAAACCAGCCGCAGCCACTGTAGCACTGGTTCGATACCCAGCCAGGGTGCTGACCCACATGGCGCAACAGACCTCTCCTGTCTCACTCACTGCTCTCCTCAGCAGTGTATTTCAGTAGATCTGCCTGTTCAGCTGCCCACACTGTCTCTGGTGAATCTTCTCAACCCCCGCACCTCTGGCCTATACCCTAGTTCTTGTATACTTTAATAAATAAATCTTTAAAAAGAAGAAGAAGAAGAAACTTTCTGAGTTTAAGCTGACACTTTTAAAATGGAATCAGTTTCTCAAGTTCTATTAGTCAAAGGCCTTCTATGTTTGTTTTTTTTTACCTGTAGATTTTCATATTTAGGGAAAGAGCAAAGAAGATAAGTTCTTATTTTAGAAGAGTTGTATATACTGACCAGGTTAAATGACTGGTACTAGTAGTAGTATAGGTAACAGTAAAATAACAGAAAAGGAAAAAAGAAAAACTATATTCTCACTGTTGTAATTCAAAAAATAACAAATGCATGTTGTAGGAGGCCTGCCTGCTAAACTTAGCAGAGGAGCAATGTATCCACACCTGCCACTCTTAAAACAATCAAAGCCAGAGAAAGCTGAATCAGAACCCACTAACACCCACTAGCCCATTAGTGCAACCACACAAAAATTAAGCACTCAGAAAACACACACACCAGACTTCAGAAGGGCAAATGTTCCTGTTGCTTATTCATCTTGGTGGATGACAACAGATTCTCACACCATACACCAGATTCTTCCCTCACTTTGTTCCCTGTAGCGCCCAACAAATAAGCTTCAGTGGCTCCCATTTGTTGAGCAAGAACAGTATATAGAATATGTGGATTGGAATGTGTGGGTGCCTTAAAAATAGTTCTAAGCAAGAAGTAGCCAAGCGTGGCTCTGGTCAGATTTCACATATAAATGAAATCAAGCCTATGCTCAGAGGATTGAGTTTCTGGGCCAGAAATCTCAAAGAGCTCTTCTCTCCACTTCTCCTTTTATCCTTTAATCGATGAAGCATTTTCCATCCCTCATGCCTCAGCTGTGAAATACCAGGCATGATAAAATGACGAGGGCTTTTGCCAAGTATGTGTACACGTGTGTTGACCTCATGCAGCACTTTTGAAGAAGCAAGAGCAACACTGACCAGGACAAAATGGAACTCACCAGAAAATGAAGTTTTGGGGTGGAGGTAGATTAAAGTCCCACTATGCAAACAGCTTTTCTAAGTATAGAATGGTTGTAACTGAAAGCTTTCCTTTTGTTGTCATTGGTATTTCTTGAGATAGTGCAGCTTCTGGATGTAGAAAATAATTCCTGTGGAAATGTGGAAAGTAATTCATAAGTCACCTCCTCTGAAGATGTCCAGGATATCAGCACAAACCAGTGTGGAGCATGACACTCTGTGTGTGTGTGTGAGAGAGAGAGAGAGAGAGAAAGAGAGAAAATGAGGTTTTGGGGTGATTAAAGTCCTACTATGCCAACAGCTTTGCTAAGTATAGAATGGTTGAAAAGAGGGGGGGAATGGGGGAGGGGTATGAGTTTCAGAACTCAAACACCGGAAAAGTGCTGTGATGTTAAGGTGAATGTTTCTTCACAGCCTTGGAATCAAATGAGGATGGTATTACTTTTTTTTTTTTTTTCTTTTTTTTTTTTTTAAAGGTTTATTTATGCATACAGAACTGGGGTACAGGCCAGAGGCTCAGGGGCGGTGAGAGGCTTCACCAGAGACAGAGTGGGGAGTAGAACAGGCAGATCTATGAAATACACTGCTGAGGGGAGCAGCGGGCGGGTTAGGAGAGGTCTGGCTCGCCATGTGGTCTCCTCCGGGGCAGGCGGCAGGCGGGAATCGAACTCATGCGGAAGTGGCTTCAGATTCTCAGTACTGTGCTTTAACCCGCTGCGCCACCAGGGAGGGCCCAGGAGGATGGTATTACTTTTAAGTAAGAGCTTTCATTCTATACTTAGCAAAACTGTTTGCATAGTGGGACTTTAATCTACCTCCACCCCAAAACTTCATTTTCTGGTGAGTTCCATTTTGTCCTGATCAGTGTTGCTCTTGCTTCTTCAAAAATGCTGCATGAGGTCAACACACATGTACACATACTTGGCAAAAGCCCTCATCATTTTATAGAGAAATCAGGATGAATTTGATCTATAAACAGAATATTAGGTAAATGGGCTAGGAATGGTGTTTAGAATTAACCGTGGGGAATTGGTGATAAATGGAAGTATTTATTTTCTAGAGGAGATCTACTTGTATTGTGAAAACTCTCCAAATGTGTGTGACTGTCTGCAGTTGTGTGGCAGCAGAGAAGTTTGGGTTGGCAACTTTTTGCCATAGCTTGTTTGTATTTTGTTTTTTGTAACACTGGAGTGACAGTGTCCTGATGAAGAGCAGTTAGTGGTCCTAGGAGTGTTCATACCCCCTTAGCAGAAATGGTCAATAAAGGAAAGCAAAACAGATGATGGATGAGGAAGATCCAGAAGTCTCTTATCAGCCAGGCTCCATAGCCCTGATGACAACTTTATGGGACTGCAGGGGTCTTTTCCTTTAAAAGTGTGATTCTATCAAAGGAATGTGTTTGTAATCAATTGATGCTAAAGTTTGAGGTTCCTGTATTTGTTTAAAATAAAAGTGGTTTGCATACATTGTTATGGTTAAAGCCAAATTAAATTATTCAGTGTGATAAACCAAAATAATAGAGATTTGATGAGGATGTTTATGTTAACATTTAGTAAAAGGGAGCTCTTGACTAGTAACACATGTGCTAAAATATGGAGGATTTGCACATTTCAAACATAGAGTGATATGTAACTAAAAAAAGTGCAGCTGGCAGTGAAGCACCCCAAAACACTCCTGTCAACCCCTTAGCTGACTGAAGGGCATCCAGGAGGGAGTGTCTAAAGCTGTGCCTTTCTCTAGTATAGTTGCTGCAACTAGAGATGCTCAATAAATATTTGTGGACTAAAATGCTGCATAGAATAATAATTTTAAAAAGTCCTTTTAAAATATATGACTGATTTCCCAAGAAAGTTGGGGATATCTATGAGGCTTGGGACTGAGCTCAGAATTGAAGACCAGAGCAGTCTCTTTGGGCAGGTTATCAGGAATACTTGCTAGAATTGGTAACCGAGAGCCTTGGGTTTTAATGGCTTCACAGGAATAAGAGACATGACTTAGGCCCAACATGGGCAGGAGGAGGAATGACGCGGGACACCCCCACCCTCCCACCCCATCCCCCCGTCAAAGGGCTGGTTCTCCTGAGTGGCCAAAATGGAGAAACACCTACTTCCTGAGAGAGGGAGGCAATAGGGAGCTTGTCTACCAGCAGGAAGTTTCCTCTAAGTAACATAAGGACAACCTGCCTCCCCAGTGTCAGGATTCACAATGATTCCTGGTGGCCCAGGAATCCCTAAAGAAAGGAAAGTTTCAGTGCTGTTGCTTCTGCAAACTCACAAGCCAAAAACATAAGAGTCAGCTGACCAGCAGGACTCAACTCTGTGGCCCTCAGATACTAGGATTTATTAGCTAAAGAAGATAAAATAAATGTTCAACATGACAAAACAAAGCAAACAGGAAAAAAGAGAAATTCATTATTGAGAAAAACATGCATATTATAAACAATAAAATAGAACTTTTAGAAATGTGGAATGAATTCAGTGTGTAGAGGAACACCTCTCTTAAACCCAAGACCCTGCCTAGTAGGGAGCTTCCCCAGTAGCCTTGGAGTTAAGTCTCAGTGCTTAACACAACAGCCCGAGTTTGGGTCCAAGCCAGGGATCTAACCCAAGTATGGAACAGCAGACCTCTCCTGTCTCACCCACTGCCCCCCTCAGTAGTGTATTTCAGTCAATCACTTGTTCTGCTCCGCACTTGGTCTCTGGTGAATCCTCTCATCCCCCTACACCCACCGTTCCTCTAGTCTATACCCCAGTTCCTGTACGCATAAATAAATGAAAATAAATTTTTAAAACACCTGCCTAGTAGATGTGGCTATCATAATAATTTCAAATAACTAACAAATCAAATAAACATTAATGTTCTCAGCAGTTCTTGAGGTTATTGAAAGTAGGATGATCTTAAATCCCAAAATTTTATCCCAAAATTGTTGAGTCCCCAAGGTCTCTGATTTTGTCTCTAACCTTTCTGTAAACTCTCTCCATCTTCCCCCGTGCTAAGGAAAGTGAACTTCTGTTTTGTATTCTGTCCTGCTCTTGGGGTAAGAGTTTCACTTATGATAACCCAAATACATAGACTAAGCAGCATCCTCAGTGAGAAATAAATTAGTTACAGATCATCACAATGAGCTGGTGAAATGACACCTATTTTGATTTCAATAATCTACTCTAGTTCTCAGCTTTATAAATCTCCCATCTTCAAGTAGCACAAACCAGAGGGTAAAATGGCAGACATAATTTTAATGATGCCTGAGGTTTTTAATATAAGTGTTTCCATCTCTGCAACACTTTATTTCAAAATTAGGAGCTCTGACTTCTTTATCATTTGTCATTAAAAAAAAAAAAACCTTTCCAATCAAAAGATTATCAAAAAGTACCTTTAACTTTTTAACCTCAAATGTAGTAGGCAGACAGATCTTTGAGCAATTCTTCTTAGGTAATTCACTGCAGAGTGGTCTGAGGCCCTCCCCGGTAACAACCATTCCCCTCCCCACCCCTAGATACCTGTGCATACAGGGGCTGCCAGGAAAAAGACAGGCACGCTCGACTGAGCAGGAAGAACTCTAATAATGTTAGAAAACAAAGGAACCAATTACTTACGCAACTTAATTGTGCATGAACTTGGACCCTACATCTAAGAGGCTGACTGTGTGAAGGTCACACTTGACGCTGTCATCATCACCAGCCCTGACCACCCCCAGCATTTAAAAAATAATAATAACTGTCTAGAAGCTTCTGTGGAAGCTGCTGGTGTGCCCTGGTCCCCCCTCAGCCTGGTTTGCAGTGACAGAGGTGGAAAGAGTGCAGGCGATAGGCATCCTCACCTGCTTTGTCTCCCAGGGAGAGCGGAGGAGGGTGCCCAGCCCACCACTGGAGCACAGTGGGGGTCACTCCACCGCTGCAGCCCCCGTGCCATGTCGCTCCGTGTGTGTCCCGGCTTGTGCACCTGTCTGTCCTGTGTCTTCACCTCAGGCAGAGTTCTTGCCGCCACTAAACCCCTTCCTTTATCCCACCAATCAGCTCAGGGGCCCCCCTGTTTTACCTGAACAGAGTGTATCGCTAGAGGAGCTACAGGGTCAGCTCGCACAGGCGACCAGACTGCTGCAAGAGGAGACAGAGACATTTACAAACAAGATCCGTAAGGTAAATATGTAACACGGATGGCAGCGCCGCCGGGAAGGCAGAGCCCACCAGGGGCCCTTCACAGGATGCTGGCCTGTCTGCAGGGCCGGCCTGTGGGCTCCAAGGCTGGAAGGCCTGTGGGAAGGTCATCCGTGCCCCCTGGTGCCTCGTAAAGTTACTGTCTGCCTTTCTGCTCCCTAACATGCTTTTCAGCATTTACAGTGTGATCTCAGGAGTTTCTTCCTAAAGTCTAATCTGAATCTTCCTTCAGCCATAACCAGCAAAGTAAAATGAAACAAGGGCATTCCATGCAACTGGCCGTGAAAGCATGTTGCCATAACCTTTGTTGCCCTGCAGATTTGTAAGTTTTGTCAGTAACAGGTAAATTTTCTCGTAGATATTATTTTACCCTAAAATAATGCTTACAAAAGAACCTGCTGTTAGCTGCAACCTTATTAACCCTTTCAGCTGTTTTAGAATAACGTACTGCTGGCTAATTATTTATCTGTTAAGTCCTTTCCCAGTGTTCCTAACGGAAGGGACTGGCAGACATGAGCTGGTACTGACCGTGGGTCTGTTCAGTCCACCCCCAGATCTAATCAAGGACTGTTCTTGCCACCCCATATCTAATCAAGCTGTGAATAGATGTCCAGGCACAGAGTTGTCCTTGCTGTCCCCTCTCCTCCCCCTGCCATATTTGCTCATGAAGTAGTAGTTTTTAAAAGCCGTGACTCTTGAATAAGGCATCATGGCTTTTTAAAATTTTGGCAGGAAAGTGTGTGACACCTAGCTCCCATGTGTCCACTGTCATATTCATCTAAATAGGTCAGAAAATGATTAAGGGAGCACCTTCTGTGCCTTGCAGCTGTGCCAAAAGCTAAATATTCTCTGCCAACTTTTACCACTACACACACACACACACACACACACACACACACACACACACACACACACACACACCTTTTTCAAAGGCTGATTTCTATTTTTGCAAAATAAAAATAATTCCATGTTTCCTAAAAGGAAAATTCCTAAGTAATTTAGCTTTTATTCTTTTATTTTGTTTATTTATTTTGTACTGTACCAAAAAATCACGTCTGAGAAGTGTGTTTACCCCTGGAGATAAAATAGAAGGGCCCAAGTATAGCTCACTCCTGGATTCAGGATTAAGGAGTATGTTGGAGAAGAGGTGCCCAGAGCTCTGGTGGTGAGACGCCATCCAGGCTCGTTAGCAGTGAGGAAGGTGTTCCCTAACTTATCTCGAGGGCCAGCGTCCACTCTGAGACTGGGAAAGTGTTTGGAGTCATGGAACAGAAGGAGACAGCAAGAACAGTGGAGAAATCAGCAAGTCAGGAAAGAATATTTCCAGCAGATCACAGGACAAGAGAACATCCCCACCCTCACCGCTGAGCCGCCTATGAGCACTCTAGCCCCTCCGGTGGGTGAACTGAACAGAACGCCTCTTACTTCTCTGCATGGAATGCTAGCTTCCTGTGCAGCTGAGCAGCCTGAAACTCTACCAAAGTTGGCCAATGGGCTAAGTGAACACTGCAGGCTAATTTGCAAGTGCTGGGTGTCCACTGCTGTAGGCTGCTGCCCTCCCAGCTCTGCTCCATTCTGTGTCCACAGGGAGAGATGCAGCAGTAGACTCGGAGGGTCTCAGAGATGGTGAATTAAGTCACCAGTATTTTATGTCATTTTTACTTGAAGTGCAAACAAGATAGGTATCCCCACAGTAGCCACACAGGTGGCGGCACAGACCGGAAGACCTTTCCCAGCTCCCCCAGCTCCCTGCTGGCCCTCGGGACATTGCTTGTGTTGGTGTCGCTTTCGGGAAGCTGGAGTCCCCTGGCGTCTGAGCATCAAGCATGTATCGTATGAGAACAACACAGAGCAAACCCCGCTGCCTTGGTTCTTGGCACTTGGGGGAGTGTTAATTTTAGAGAAGACAGCTGATAATGATGAGGCCGGCCTTGTGATACTTCTTTTTTGGGGGGCGGAGAGGGGAGGGCAGGAAGCTCTCATTCCTTATATCACTTTATCTACTATAGAACCTGTTCTTTGGCCTCTGCCCGTGAAATAAGATTTTATTCATATCCTTTTGTTCCGTTATTACCAACAGACAACAGATAATAATTGTCTCTTGCTTGAAGAGCAAGAAGCTATACCCATACTTAAAAAAACAGGAACTTCATGCAGAATGACAAACATTTCTATTTCAGCAATGCTTTTATTTCCCTAGGAGTTGCCCATATCAAATAGGAATGTGATGTCTTAAGCAGGGAAATAGATTATCGGTTTACTTTCCTGTTTGCTCAGTGCTATAGCAGTGACATACTACCTGCTCACAAGGCTCCCACTCACCACCTCTCTGGGCCTCTGTCTGCCTGCTAGTCTGTACTTACAGAAGGCTGTTCAGTGGTTCAGAAAATCAAGAGAAAACCCACTTCTTTTCTCCATTATGATTGTGATGCCTTTGTGTGCATGCCCAGAAGGCCAATGGAGTCCACGTTTAAGTCAACTATAAGCCTCATTCACGTTTCCTGAATGAGTTTAGAAACGTTTAAAAACACCATAGGAAACTTGACAATGAAAAGTTATTAAAATTCCTAATTTGAAATAGCACTTACTTCTGAATCAGGAAATTCACATGATTTTGTAAAGAGTAAATATCTCAAGTTAAACTTTTGGGGGCTTCTGTGTTTCCATGTCCCATATGCAAGATGATATAGGTTGAATGACAGTTGGCAAGGATTAGGTTTGGTTTGGGTGGCAACTTGGGCTAGCTGCCTGTCACACTTTCTCTTTTACTGTGTTCAAGATGGAGGAGGAGCACCTCTATGCCCTAAGGTGGAAAGAACTGGAAATGCACAGCCTGGCTTTGCAAAACAGCCTCCATGAGCGAACCTGGAGTGATGAGAGGAATCTGATGCAGCAGGAGCTCCGATCCTTGAAGCAGAATATTTTCCTTTTCTACGTCAAACTCAGGTGGCTGCTTAAACACTGGCGGCAAGGGAAGCAGATGGAGGAGGAGGGAGAGGATTTCACTGAGGTAGGTCTACCTGGAGAGACCTTTATTTGTATGGCTTTTGCCTCTCAGACCCTGCTGTCTCTTAGCACACATGCACACAAAGACCCATTTCATTACTTTAGATTCTTTTGTCAAGTCCAGTAAAACAATGGAAATGAAATGGATTATCCCATTACATCGTCAACCAAGAATTCCATACTATCTTTGATCTTGTGTTAAGGGAGGATTCTTAAGAACTCGTTAAGTTTTGCTATCTTCTCCTTTCTTACAGATTTGTTAATTTGTTATATTGACCACCCTGAGGTTCTTCACCATTTCATTCAAACTTGCTAGTGTATAGAACCCGATTGGAAATCTTTCTTCTTTTCATCAGTTTTTTGTTCCTATATGCCACAGCCCATCCTGCCAGTGCAGTTTTATGAGGGCTTTTTCTAAACTTCAGAGGGGACACTTTTTTCACCTATTTAATTTGTGCATCTTCTTCTACTGCCTCAGTCTCCAAATTCTTAATAGAAACAAAACAGGTATTTGCTCTCTGGTTGATTTTTTTTTATTATTATTGATAAATCATAGTGACCTCATTTTGTGGCTCCTTCTTGTCCTGGCTTCGCCATGGGTGCAGGGCTGGGACCCAGGTGGGGGTGTGTTCCAGACACCTGCAGCCCTTACTACTTTGTCAGCTGCTCTGGGGTATTATGAATAGTTGGTTTCCTTTTAGCCTCCAAAGTACTTTCATTTACTTTAAACTCTACTCAGTAGTGCATATAATTTTAAGTTGCTCTATGAATAGGATGCTAGAGGGAAGATACATCTTCCGTCAGGATGAAAAAGTCTTCAAAGATTAATTCAGCCAAATTACAAATACCAAATAGAAGTAAAACTTCACAATAATTGTAAAGTTTCCTGCTGATCAATACTTTGGCATTTCTCCTCTTCTAATTTATAAACTACTATAAGCAATAATCATTGATATATGTGTGTGTGTGTATATATATATATATACACACACACACACATATAGTAAAATTTTTCATTATTGAAATAATTTATACAGCATAAACTTGCTCATCTTCCCTAACAAAGTGAGCACTCATTTAAATGGAGGAAGTTGCCAATAGGGATATGACCAAATATAGGCATTAAGGGAAATGACTGAGAAGTGAGGACCTAATAACCCTTAAAGTAAATAATTATAAAAATAATAAAAATCAGCTATATAACAAGAGAATTTGGGTGGAACTGTGGTCTTTAATTCCTGTTGTGTTCAGGTCGAGCACCCAGAGCCTCTGCCTAGACTTGGAGAGCATGGAGTCGAGGGGCACACGAAAGGGGATGGCCCAGACCCAGAGGGGGACAGTCCGAACCCAGTCTTTATAGCGGGGGAACACTGCTCTCAGCTGCAGCCGTCAGACCCGGGACCGCTCCACGGGCAGGTGAGTCCCATGTTTCCAGCCCCTCATTTCCCCATATGTGGAAAAGGAGATTCCTAATCTATGCTTGTGGCATCTTATTTCATGTGCTGGTGTTCCCAAACCCTGCTGTATTTCTGCTAATAACTCTATCATTAAGATTTTCCTTTTAACATCAGCCTTTAGTTTATCTGACATACATATAGTCCTCTCTCATGGCACAGGGGTTAAAGTCTCAATTCTATCAAGCTGTCCACAGCCAGAACAGTACGAGTTCAATCCCCAGCCAGGGAGGTGACCCACATGGTGCAGCAGACCTCTCCTCTCTCACCCACTGCTTTCCCTCAGCAGTGTATTTCAGTAAATCTGCCTGTTTTGCTCCCCACTCTGTCTCTGGTGAATCCTCTCACCCCCTGTCCTCACATCTCTGACCTAAACCCCAGTTCTTATATGCATAAATAAATAAAATAAATCTTTAAAAAAGCTAAATAAGGACCATATTAAGATCAGATCAGTTGTGTCTCCTCAAGGCCAGTGAGTATATTTAGAAGTAGAAGAATAAAAGCTGTAGAATGATCTGCTGACCATTCCTCCAAGGAAGAAAGAATATCTTAGCAGCCTTCTTAACTTGAAAAAAGATGTTACAGGACATATTTGTTTATGTTTAGCTGAATCAGTGTCAACAAGTCACTAATTTGGCAACATAATGTGTAAGGAGGAAAGAACAAGTGTTTTTTTGTTGTTTGTTTTGCCTTTAATCCTCAAGCATATAGTACAAAGTATTTCAGATTTATTTTAGGTCACTTGAAATGTTACCCCCAATAAAAATATTTGATGACACTTAAACAAAGTTAAACCATCTTAAAAAAAAAAAAGTGGTTGATATCAGCATATACTATTAAGTAATTACTAGTGTTGTCAAGTGCCATATTTACTCATTATTAAGCAGATACTGTTGGTGCCACCCAGATTTTTTGTGCTCTTATAAAAGTGGTGGTGATGCAGGCTGGCAGTGTCAAGACCCTGGGAGACACCCTGATCTGAGTCCCTCTGATCCTGGATTGCACCTCTGTGGCTCTGAGCCCCAAGCCCAGGCCCCTGGCTCTGGGCTGGCGGAGCCGAGCACAGCCGTCACCTGGGTGGGGCTGCAGCCACTCAACCACAAGCATTTTTGGGTGCTTCCTCTGTGCTGGACTCCACAGCTGCAGCTCCTCCCTCAGCCCGGAGACTTGGAAGGTTAAGTGGGAGAGGCTGGTGTCAGAACTCTGGCTTAGATCCAGATGAAGAAAAATGGTGATGTGTGAGCACTGGTCTCAGGGGAATGCTTGGTTCCCCCAAGTACTTTCTGTCCATATACAAATCATATATTTACACCCAAAGAGCTATTTTCTACATACAACCATCCTCCCTTCATTTTCCCTGAATAATTTGACTCAAGAAAAAGGTTATACTTTCACAGGAACTACTCATTTCAAATTTTAGGAAGTCCCTCATTACGCCAGTATTCTTGGTTGTGGATCAAGGAGGGAGTTTTCCAGCTAGAGAATGAAATGATCCAGTTAGAGAAGGAAATGCTACTTTGTAAATAATCCTTTTAAAACTGCCTGTATTAGTACTTTTCAGAGAGATGTTAGTTGTCTGTCAGTCCTTAAAGTATCAGTGATGAACTTCAGCGGTTCAGTTGGCCCCTCACCATAAATCAGATGTATCTCTGATCCTGTGATAGGTGTTTCCCACACATCCTCTAAATGCCTTGGAAAAGGGGAAGAAATGTTACACATCTGTTTTTCTAAACAGCAGTCATGGAAAATTTTACCCTTGGGGTGGAAAGTGATATGGAGTCACTCAGCTGAAACCTCACATACAGTGTATTCTTTGCTTCCTCCTCTTTCCAATGCTAATTATTTAGCGAACCCCCTTAAAAATGGGGATGGGCCAGGAGGCTCCCCTCTGCATGGAGTGCAGTAGAGAGACATGTGTGGGCTGTAAAGGTGGGATCCAGACAGGCGGAACAGGTCTATCTCTAACAGACCTGCTGGCCCCAGTGGCTGAACACACTTGCCGACTGTCTGAGGGCAGGAGATTAATGAGCTCTACTGTAATGACAGCTGCTCCCCTGGGAGGGACTGTCTCACTCGGGTGACAGCCCTCCCCTGGCATGGGCGTAGTCAGACAGCCTGGATGCAAGACCCAGGACTCGCATCCAGAGAGGCAGACCCTGTTCAGAAACACTGATGACCTCCCAAGGTGATAAGCAGTATGAGAAATATGGCCAAGCTGCTTTCTCAAGGATTAATGTGAGAGTAGCAACTTTTCCAAGGCATCGGATGAACTTTCTCACAGCAGAAGCCAGTCAATGGCAACAATTATCATATCTGAGCGGTAAAAAACAGTTACATGTACCAAGTCAACCTTGGAAAAATCTCATGAAAAATCATCATTGGCTCTGCGAATGCTAGCTGTGGACAGATCTTTAGTTTCATGATCTAGTGGCAGTGACCTGCTTGTTCTCACAACAGTAAGCACTTTGTCTACTCCGCCTTCTGCAAGAGCAGAGAGTGGAAATAGGTGAGAGCACGTTGGGTCGTCCTCCTAGAGTTCCAAGTTGTGCTTTGGCCTGGAGCTCCCAAGGCGAGTGCTCCTAAGGCTATGTAGACATCTACACATATTAATCATTCCTGAAACCAAGTTTTTCCATACAGGTGATTGACAGCTCTAGAATCACAGCCCAATAGCTAGTCTTGTGGTCCCAACAGCTAGTCTTCTCAGAATTGGGTTGGTGTATCAAAAGAGAAGTTATGCTTTTATTCAGGGGTGTAATGTAATACTCATCTAAGTGTAAATATGAAGAACTAAATCTAAAATTCAGAACAAGATCTAATGAAATTATGTTTCATATTAGCCTCCACTTCAGCTGCTCGCTGCAGAGGCTGACCCAGGGTCCAGTCTTAGGACTGAGTAGAAGCTGCTCCCCTGGGCTTTCATCACCCCTCCAGGACTTACCTGAAGCTTCGGGCCTGAAGGGCTCCTCTATGTAAAAGCAAACCTTTTGCTGTACACAGAGTGCACTGGCGCCCTGAACTGGGACTCACCTGGATACACTACTGCCTCGCTTTCTGTCGGGTCACCTTTCTGAATTGTCCAAAATGCAGAAATTTCAACAAAGAGTACTTCTGCAAAGTGAGGCCTGCATATCAAAATCAAAGTCACCGTGACTCTTTTTTTTTTTTTTCCTGTAGATAAGAAAGCTCCCCTCTTTGGCTTGGCCAGTTTTAATATGTTCTGCCACAGTTTATTCCTTAGACACTGTGATTTTTCATCGAACCTATGAGACATGCTATTCTATGTGAAAGGAAACAGGCCAGAGCTTATGATTATAAACATTTTACTTTTGCTGTATTTTTCTGTTTGGTTGGTTCTGTCACTGTGAAAACAACTAGCACCTCAGTGTTGCAGAGTGGAGAGTGTGAGGGGCTACGCCTGGCTCCCCTCTCCAGCCACTGCAGTAGTTTGAGCTCCATGGAGAAGGTTCAGGGCAAGAGAGAAGTGGGCAGCCTCATGGCTCTGGGTCTCGCTGAGGAAATGTAATTAAACACAGGCAGAGGAAAGCCTAACGAGCTGAGAGGCAAAATGGCATCATGTGCATTTTTGGTGCAAGATGGCTGGGAAGGAACACAAGAAGAAACACGCAGCTGCTTCCGTCAGCTTCTCAGAACTTCTAAGAAGTGCTCATAGAGGTGGAAGACCATGTCTGCTAAAGAGAAAAGGAAGTCTGAAGAAATGGCAAAGGCAAACAAGGCCCATTATAAAAAGAAATGAAATCTTAAGTCACACCTAAAGGGGAAGCAACAAAGAAATTCAAGGATCCCTGAGCACCCAAGACAATTCCTTCAGCCTCTTTCTTGGTTTGCTCTGAGTATCACTTCCAGATTAAAGGAGGACATCTGGGTCCCTCCATTGATGATGATGCAAAGAAACAGAGAGAGAGATGTGGAATCACATTGCTCAGGCGACAAAGCAGCCTCATGAGAAGAAGGAAAAATACAAAGGATGTTGTTGCCTATGGAGCAAAAGGAAAGCCTGATGCAGCCACCGGGGGAGGTCATCATAGTGGAAAAACAGCATGGAAGAGAGAGAAAGAGGGGAGGAGAGCCTGGATGAAGAAGCTGATAATGAAGAAGTTGGTTCTAGATCACTCTTCTCTTGTCTATAAAGCATTTACCCACCCTGTACACAACTCACACCTTTTGAAGAAAGAATGATACGTAAGGCTCTGCGTATGATTTGTTTTTAAACCGTGTGGTGTCTTTTTTTGGTATAGTTAACAATCAATTGCTGATTTCTGAAGAGACTGAAAGGTTTCTAGTTGAAATTAACCTACACTTAGCAAACTGTGATTAAAGGTTGCATAGATGAGCCTTTGGCACAGAAGTTTCAGAAAGCTCAGTACCCAAGACACTCAATAAAGACCTCCAAATTGTCCTCAGTTCTTGACTTCATTTGAGCTATCTTTTTACCCCAAACATCTCAGCAAAGGCCACAACAGGGAGAAAAAGAGAGAAAATAACTTGTAAGCATTCTTTCAGTGACTCAGTGTTAATTTCCTTAACATAGGAGATGGAATTAGTTTCACGGAGATTAGTTTCAACAAAATTTTACCTCCCAAGTGTCCTGATGCAAAATTTTAAAAATGCTTATACTCTAATATTATTTTGATCATTCTTGTTTGTTTTTGGTCATGAAAAGTCCCAATCCATGGCCTCCCTGGTGGCCTAGGAGTTAAGTCTCAGAGCTTTCACCCCAACTGCCTGAGTTTGATCCCCAGCCAGGCAGCTAACTCACATATGGCAGAGCAGATCTCTCCTATCTCACCCCCCTGCATCCCTCAACAGTATATTTCAATCAGTCCACCTATTTTCCTCCCCACTCTGTCTCTGGTGAATCCTCTATCCCCTTACATCTCTGGCCTACCCACTGCCCCCCCCCAAAAGGTCTTCTACACAAAATTAAATTAAAAATATATT